CAGGGTGTGGGTCCGTGTACACTCCGGTCGGTGGGGCCTCTGGCCTTTCATCCGCCCCCACCTCTTGGCTCCTGGGGATGCTGCTTTTGCAGACAGCGTGTGCGGGTGAACTCCGAGCTCAGTCCCCCTCGCCCCTTCAGTGCGGTCCCTGCCCTCCGGACAAATCACCGGCCCTCTGTGCTGTTAAGCACGGGGAGTGATGCCCAGGAGTCCTTCGCTTGCATTTCCCTATTTTCATGTATGTAAACAGGCCTCCTCCCCTTGCCTGTGGGACAAACCCATCTGGGGTTCTGGGGCTTGGATTTGGGGGGGGAAGTGGTATAAGAGGGGCCCCTGGCTTAGGAGTCATTTTTCTGAGAAGTGCCAGCCCTTTAGGGAAGCGGCTTTTCCTCCCCCTCCCTAACCCCTCCAGCCCTCTTCTCGGTGTCTTGACCTCAGGTAACCCTCACTGGGGGGAGGAGCACAGCTGCCTCCCTGTGCTGCAGGGAGCCTTTGGGGGGGGGCACTGCAGACCCTTTCCCCTTAGGACAGTGGGGAGAGGCCCTCCAAGGCTCTGAGCTCTGTCTCCGGCTCCCCAGCCTGGCCGCGCGGTCCTGCCACCCCCAGCAGTGTCTGGGCCCTGCTCCCAGGCTGTCTCTGCCATCCAGGCGTGGTGCCAGCTGTCTGCTCAGCCGGGTGCCACGGGAAAATCTCCGGCCGCCCAGGTTGGGGAGCTCCACGGGGAATGCCTGCGTGCCCACTCACCTGTCTTTCCTCTTTCTGCAGCATCGCAGGACATGGCCCCCCCAGCCGCCCGCCCAGGGGTCATCTAAGAGACGCATCCTTTTCCCCGTCCTGAAGGCCAGCTCTGGACCTTCCCAGGAAAGTGCCAGCTCACGGAACTGCTTGACCAAAGGACCGGCTCTTGGGACATCCCCCAGCCCCTGGCCCCAAGCTAAAGTGGGGGCTCCAGGAGGCCGAAATTAACTTGCTAGCCTTGGACCGCAGCTCCAGGACAGAAGGGGGGGTGGGCTGACCACCCAAACCCCCTCTGGGCCCAGGCCCCATGCCCCAAGGAGGGGCGGCCTGAAGCCCGCCGGAGCCTCCTGCCGGACTGCCCGCCTGCCTTCTGACTGTGGCTGCTTGGCATGGCCAGCAACAGCAGCTCCTGCCCGACACCTGGGGGAGGGCACCTCAATGGGTACCCGGTGCCCCCCTACGCCTTCTTCTTCCCCCCTATGCTGGGTGGACTCTCCCCGCCGGGCGCTCTGACCTCTCTCCAGCACCAGCTTCCAGTTAGCGGCTACAGCACGCCCTCCCCAGCCAGTAAGTGGGGTGGTGGGAGGCTCGGTGGGGGAGCTCCGCGGGGCAGCAGGCCTCGGGCTCTGGCCTCTGGGCGTGTCTGTTCTGCTGCAGTGGTGAGGTCTCCTCTGCACAAGGGGGGCCGTTGTCTGGGGGGCTCGAGGATGAAACTCGGTGGTCCTGCGGTTGTGTTGGATGTTGGGGGCCGCAGAGGGGAGCCGAGGCTGTCCTGTGGCGCCCCTCCAGGCCATTGAGAGCCTCACAGACAGCTCCAAGGACTGGACCCTGAGGCTGCAGGCGGGTAAACAAACCTCTCAACATTTGGTGGAAAAGGCAGCTCTGCTCCGGGCCGGGGCACCCACCTAGGGCCCCCGCCCCGCATCTAGTGCCTCAGAGGGAAAGGGCTTGAAGGAGTAGAGAGGGGGTGGGCTGCTGGAACCCCCTCCCGCTGCCAGCTATGCCCCGTGGGGAGGGGGAGAGGGAGGGACCCCGGAGCAGCCCGGAGGACAGGGCAAGTGTCCCAGGATGAGTGCTGCGCCTGGCCTCTGGCTGCGGACACATGCACACGCGCTTGGCAGGGGCTGTGTTTTCTCTCGGCCTCCTTTCTCTGCTGCGGGGGACCCCTGTTAGCTGGATGGGGGTCTCAGTACCCTTCCCTGGCTGGCTGAGCCAGGTAGTGGGAGGTGGCGGCGGCTATGGCCAGCTGGCAGAGTCCAGACCTTGGGCCTGCCAGGCCGCTTACAGTAACTCTGGCCCCCAGGGCCCAGCTGGGCGCCAGGCCAGGGCTGGGGGGAGGAGGGAGCCGGGGCCTGGCCTGGGGCTGGAGGGGGGTTGGAAGCAGCAGAATAGGCTGTGGACAGGCAGGCTGGCTGGTCAGTTGCTGACCTGGGAAACGTGTCCCACCTCTCCTGGTGGGCAGGGACTGAGCACCCTGCCCTGGGCACCCACCGCCCCTCCCACAGCTGCTGGCAAGCTGCCTGGCATCACCGCCCAGTGCTCTTGGCTGGGCTGGGCCAGTGGCCCCTTCTCAGTGTGGGGGCAGTGCACTGTCCCCAGAGCCAGGGAGTCTCTTTGTCCCCGGGGCAGGCCCTGGCTGGGTGCCTCGCTGCCCGCACTGGCCCAGTGCCCACCGCCACCACTGCTTCCTGGATCGCCTTCCCTGGCCCCGCTGTGGCCCCCTGCCTCCCAGGTCCACAGCCGCTGGCAGCAGGAGCTCTGTGTCTATACTCCTTGAGGCCCCCATCCCGACCCCTGGTGTGAGGGGCAGTCAGACGCTCCCCCCCCCCCCGCCTCCGCCACACACACCTTTGTCTCTGTTTCTCCCCTCTTCTGGGCAGAATAGGGTGGGAGGTGGGTGGCGGAATAACCTGGGAGTCAGGAACCCGATTCTGACCTGGCCTTCCAGTCTGTGCCAGGTGACAGAGAGGCCGGTCTCTGGGTTCTGGGTTGCTGGGGAGTGGGCGGGTGTGGCTGTGGTGCCGAGTCGCTGTGTGGGGTAGTTGCTGCCTCTGCAAGGACTGGGCTTCATCTTTCCACTGGGGTAGCTGGAGCGTCTGCTGCCTGCCAGGATGGGATTTTCTAGGGAGGGAGAACCAGGGGGCCGTAGCCTGGTGCCTGTGGACAACTTGTCCTTCCCCTGGTGATGGGGACAGTGTCCCAGACACGCTGCTCACCTGGGGCCTGGACTCACAGAGAGAGGTCGGGGGGCCTGGCCCCCAGCCTTGCCCAGTCCGGTGCCAGAAGAGTGAGTGCTTTGCCCTCTAAATGTTGCAAGCTTCTTCCTCTTTCTTAGAGGTGGGTGGAGAGGGCTTCCGGGTCCCATACTTCCCACCCTGGTAACCTTTCCCCCTGGGGTGGGGTGCTCACATTTCAGGCAAGTAGAGGCTTCTCTGGCTTTCTCCACCCAGGTTAGGCAATGCCCCTTCCTGCCCCCTCCCTGTGTGGGCCTGTGGGTTTCCCTGCCCCTCTCCCCTAGCTAGTAAACAACAACACCTTCTCTTCCTACCCGAATTCTCAGCTTCTGAACTTCTCCCTCACCTTCCGCTTTTCTGGGACCAGGAGCATCTCTCTGCTTCTTGCACGGGGCTGGGGGCCTGGCTCTTAGCACTGGCGTCGAAGCAGGACGGTCAAAGTCACACGTGTGGGAGATGGAGGCAGCCTTGTCCTCCCTGCTCTTTGGCCCCGGGGTGGTGCTGGGCTCCGGCACTTCCTAGGAGGGGGGGACATGCGTGCCCCCACTCCTGCAGGGAGCAGTGATGGGCTCCGGTCCTTGCTGATAAGGCCCCCTCCTCCCACTTCCCCCTTCCCATCTCTCTCCCCAAGTCAGGAGGCGGCTGGACCTTGGGTGTCTTGGGTGTACCCTTTAGAGACCCGGTGGCCACAGAGTGACATAAATATTCTCCAGGTGACTGTGTGTTGGGGGATATTTGTCCTGCTTTCGTCTCTCAGGGAGCCAGAGTTGGGAGGTCCCAGGGATGGTATAGGACCCCACCCCTCCCACCCCTGCCCCGGGGGCCAAGTCCCCTTTGAGGACTGGTATTTACTGTGGAGGGCTGGATTCTGTGTGCTCAGTGGAGAGGGTCAGGGTTGTGTGTGTTTTAGGGGTGGGGAGGTCAAGGCTGGATGTGTGTGGGGAAGGGAGTTAATGGTTTGTGTGTATTGGGTGAGCAGATCAGAGAGCTGAGTGTGTTTTTGGGGAACCAAATCCGGAGGAGCTGGGGACTGGGTGTCACTTGGCTTGTGTGCTGGAGGGGGTGGTGACTTAGAGCCCCGAGTGTTTAAGGGGGAGTGGTCTGTGGATTATGTTGTGTGTTCGGGGAGGGAAAGGTCTTTAATTCTTATCAGCGAGGCCGGAGGGGAAACGAACCTGCCTTTTTCGCTGCTCACCCCAGGCATTCCGGGCGCAGGGTGGGAGGCTGTGAGGGCAGCTGCGTCCCCCACTACTCAGGTGGCCTGTGAGCAGGGTTCCTGAGCTGTGCGGCAGGACAGGAGCACCCCCCCCCCCGCAGGGCTGAGGCTAGGCCAGAGCATCTATGTCAGGTCGTCCACGGGGGGCACTTGGCACGCTGTGCTTGCGGTCACTGCCGTCCCATCACCGCGGTGCTGCTCTCTGACAGTGGAAGGGGACCCGGGCCCTTCCGGGTGGGAGTTGTAGAGAACAGGTTTCTAGTGTCTGTGGAGCACCCACCATGTGTTGGGGGGGAACTTTACTTCTGGTTTACAAATCTCAGTCCCCACAGTCCTGGGAGAGGACCACCATCTGCATTTACACGGGAGGAAGTGGCTCCGGTAGGTTGTTCCTGGATTCAGTGGCCTGGAAGGCCTGGCCATTTCGACATCCAGATTGGCTTTTGCAGGAGGGTATTTGGGGGGCACTCCTGGTGCAGGGAGACTTAGAGGGGGAGCAGTGCCAACGTTGAAACCCCTTCCCCATGGCTTCTGCCTTAGAACTCCCACTTTCCCCCAGCAGGGGGCGCGGGAAGCCCCAGCAGGAGCCTCAGCCTCTCTTCTCTGTTTTGCATCCTGAAGGCTGGAGGGAGAGAGCAATGGGAGGCCTGGGCCAGATCTCCATCCTGTCCTGGAAGTTGCGGATACAATCTGTTCACACCCATCCTCACCCCGAACCTGCCCACTGCAGCCCTGGGCCTTTGCAGAGCTCGGCAGGCAACCTTCCCCCACCTCCAGACAGACACCTTAGGAACAGCGTGTAAAGGCCTCCATTCATGTTCTTATTTTTGTTTCAGTTTGTGGGCTGGGGGCAGGGAAGGTGGAAGCAATCAGCAGAGGATCAGGGAATGGGAACCCCGAGATTGGCTTAGACTCTTCCTTTCTGCCCTCATACTCACTGTGCGCGCCAAGAAACTGGGGAACAGCCCTAGGACCTGGGACCTTGGGGAGACATGGGGGTGGGGGGGTGCCCTTCTCCCCCTTTTCCCTGCCACTCCCTTCCTCCCTCCTGCCCACTTTTCCCAGGGATAGGAGGGGCGGCCCAGGGGAGGGGGTATTGTTATGTTGGCCTTTCCGGGCTCCAAAATATAGAATCAGCCAATAGAGAGTGGATGGAGTTTCGAATGAAAATAGGGCCCCTCACCTTTTATCTGGCAGCGTTAATAATGTACAGGCCCCTCCTGGGCAGGCTCGCAGCATGGGTTTGGGGGAGGGGACTCAGGGAAGGAAGCCTGTCCTCTTTGACTCCCTGAGGCCTGAGACAAATTATGTCCACCCCATGCCAGGGCCATGTACCCATGGGGATGGGCCAGTGCTGGCCCTGACGGCCCTTCAGGGGTAGTAGCATCTGTGGAAAGAGGAAGTGTTTCCCTTCTTCAAACTACTTTGGGGCGGTGCCCACACTGTCTTCTTCCTCCTCCTCCTTCGTGGAGTCTGTGCACAGCCAGTGGAGCCGGGCCTCCCGGGCGGCGAGATCAGAAACGGAGGCCCTTTCCTCTCCATTTTGACGACTGGGTTGCTGGGACCCTCAGCCAGACCACACACCGGCGCCCCTGTGGGCAGCAGTGTTGGAGGACAGCTCTTCCTGTTCAGCCTTGGGCAGGCCGCCCAGCCTCTCTCTGAGCCTGTTTCCTCCTCTTTAGCAAGACTCGGAGCCCAGCTCAGGCTCGGGGACTCGCTGTGAGGCCACGGCGACCTGCTTGCTGGTGAGGGCCTGGGTGAGCTTCAAGTACCCTTGCGCTGGCCCGTGTGGCTCAATGGTTGGAGCATCATCCTGTAACCAAAAGGTTGGGGGTTAGATCCCCGATCGGGGCACAAGCCTAGGTTGTGGGTTCATCCCTGGTCCGGGCACCTGCGGTCTGAACCCCCGGTCCCTTTGCGGATCCCCGATCTGGGTGTGTGCACGGCAACCAGTTGGTGCTTCTCTCACATCGACGTTTCTCTCTCTCCTTTCCTCTCTTCCTCCAAAAAAGCAAATGAAAGTGTCCTCAGGTGAAGGTTTTAAAAAAAGGACCCTTGAAGTGATGATGAGGGGCTGGTGGAGCCAAAAATTGTCCAGGGGAATGGCCTCCCTGTGCTGGGACCTGCTGTCTGCCTGGCTCAGAGCCTCACGGTCTCCTGTTGGTCACCCTCTCCAGACGGGGTTGGGGACAGGCGGGAGCCCCGCCTGGCACAGCTCACGGCCGGTTCAGTTGGGCCCACACCTGCTGAGGCCGTGCTGGTAAACGCACACAGCGAGAGGAGCTGCGGGTGGTGCAGCAGAGGGCAGACCCCACGCCTGTGGGCAGCCGCCATGGAGTCCCCCCCTCAGTGGGTCGGCCTTCACTTTACCCTCTTCTCCTGCTGCCCCAGGACACTGTGCTCTGCTCTCACTTGTGCCATGACCTTGCTGTTGTCCAGAACAGGCATCTCATCCCTGGCTTCTCCCCTTCTCCAGCTCCGGAAATCCTGACTGTCCTTCAAGGAACATTTTTAAAAAATAATTTATTGGGTTTTTTTTAGAGAGAGAGAGAAACATAAATTTGTTGTTCTACTTGTTTATGCACTCATCAGTTGCTTTATGTGTGTGTCCTGATCAGGGATCGAACCCACAACCTTGGCATATCAGAACTGACCGAGCTACCTGCACAGGGCGAAAGGGACATCTTGAATCCAGCCTGTTCCCAGAAACTTTAGAGATGTTCCCCATAACTTGCCACACTCTCCCTCGCTCCTTTGAATACCTGTGGGTCCTTATTTTTTCTCTTACATCACTTGCCTCTACCATGAAGGGACTTCGCCCCACCTAGTTCCTGCTGTGAGCTGATGGTTTGGGAGATGTTCCCCCTACCCCAGGTCTCTGACGGCAGGGACAGCCTCTGATCCCTTAGTCCTTCACAGCTGCGAACACCGAGTCTAGTGCGTAACTGAGGCCCAGTAGCTACCTCATTTGGGAGGGAAGATTCCACAGGCCATGGAAGCACCTGCCCTCCTGCCCAGCAATCTCCTTCACTGCCAAGGCTCGGCTTCCGCCCCAGACCTCACTTAGGTGAGACCTCACTTCGGAGCCCCACACCCACTTGTCCACCAGCCCAATAGACTCCTTTACTTTCCAGTCTCAGGAACAGTGCTGTTTCACCAGGAACATGCAAGTCTTTTTGGAGCTCTCCCTCCCTGCCCCCACTCACCCTGCCTTGATTCTATCATTAAAAAGTTTCAAGAATCTACCTTCCTCTGTTTGTCAGCACTGCCGGTTTCCTAGACTGCACCCCCGTTGTGTGCTGTCTGGGCGACTACTGTAGCTTCCAGCCGGTCTCTTGTGCCCTCCTACAGCCCATTCTTCACACAGCTAGCTGCCAGGATGATCTTAAGATGCTGTCACTCAGATCTCGCCTCTCCCCTGCTTGGGATTTTCTTGTAGGTTCTCCCTGCCTGTAGGATGCAACGCAAAAGTCTGACTGAGGCCAACAAGCCCACCTGGCCTGGCCTCGGCCCCTCTCTCCAGTCTGCTCTGGGGCCCCTTTTCCTCTGGAATTTTCCGCGCTGTCTGCTCGAGTCCTCTGTCAGTACTTTGAATGAACTCAACTACTACAAACCCAGGACCTTTGCGCGGGCTTTCTTTTACTGGGACCGCACTCCTTCCTCCCTTTGCCTGACTGACTAGGTCTCTGCTTTGTTCTTCCACGACCCACCAACACTTAGGTTAACTCTCCTTCAAAGCACACAGTATCTGTGTCATAACACCAATCAACGATCACAGTTTGACACACACACAAGCACAAGTATTTGCTTAATGGCTGCTGGCCCTTAAGGTCTGCAAGGGCAGGCTCGCCAGAGTATCCAGGTAAGAGGAGTTCCAAAATACCTTTTTTCCCCCCTTAAATTGGCATGGCATGGTAGGAATATGGGCTTTCATGTCAGAAGCTTCAAATGCACTACCCTTTATTAGCAGTGTGATCTCGGACAACCCATGTAGCCTCGATGTAAAGTAGGAGTGGTGCCTGCTTTTTTCTCTTGCAGTACCTGTTAGGGTTCAGGAATATACACACGTTAATAATCTGGCTTCTAGAAGAATATCCTTGGGAAGCATGTAAATCCCCACCCCCTTTTGGAATCGGGGAGCGCCGCTCCGCTGCAGGGTCAAAGGGCGTCATGGGATCCACTCTCCTCCAGGGGCATCCCCGGCTTCAGGGATCCACCCAACCTAGGCCTTTCTTCCCTGAACAGGCATGTCAAGGGCTCCCAGGAGGAAGTGGTCAGTTGGAAGGCATCAGCCGGTCCTTTGATCTCTCGAGGGGCTGGACTGTGCGGTGGGGGTGCGGATCCTCCTTCCGAGACTGGGAGACACCCTGGGCGGGGCTTTGCTCACCGGAAGCACGCGGAGCGTGGGGAGGGGAGCCCCGGCTGCACGTCTTTGCCGAAGCACCCGCGCTGCAGCGTCGGGTTCCGGCGGGCGGGCGGCCAGTCACACATGATGTCACAGACAATGACACAAGCCGGGTGTCTCAATCCGACGCAGCGCCTGAGCTGCACAATGTCACACCCAGGACACCCGGCACGCCGCGTCCCAGGCTCTAACACTTGGCCGCACGCACCCCGGCCCTTTGCCTCTCGCGGCATCTCTTGGTGCCAACAGGGAAGCCGGCCCAGCCCGGTTGGGCAGGGGGCCGGCAGGCGAGCCCCACGGGCGGGTTGGCGAGCGGGTGATGTCACGGGCAGTGGTGGGTGGGTCACCCGGAGGTGAGGCGCGCCAGGCGAGTTCAGCGAGAGTTCAGCCGCATTGCATTAGGCAAATGAGGCCGGGGCTGGGTGGGGGTGTGTTAGGGGAGGACACCGGGACCACCCCTCTCCTCCTTGCACCAGCACTTCTCCGCCTGGCAGCGCCGCTGGTTCCGGACCGACCGAGCCACGGGGGAGGCTGGGAGCGGAACTGGATTGGGGGAAACGCCCGCCCCGCTTTCGTCCTGGCCTTCCGCGCAGCCCCCTCCTCTCCCGGTGCCTGGCCTCCGTGCGCCCTCCGCCTCTGGAGCCTTTTCCTTTCTGTCTCCTCTTCTCTCCTCCCCCTTGCCAGGCTCCCCCCACTCGCGCATCCACATCCCGCCTCTCGGTCTCAGTTCCCCGTTTCTCCGGCTGCGGCTGGCCCAGCGGGGAAAGGGTTAAGCCTGGGGTGGTGCCCGAACGGGATGGGGTGGAGGGGAGGGGGTGGGACCGCGGCGAGCGGGGCTCCGGCTGGGGGTGGGGGGCGGCGGCGCACGGCGCCCGAGCCCCAGGCCGGGCCTGGCGGAGGCGGGGCCGCGCGGGGTCCCCACCCCCACCCGGTGTCCTCGGCCGGGAGAAGCCCGGGAGCCCCGGCGGGGAGGAGGAAGTGCTCGGCGAGCCCCCGCCTCCCGCGCTGATCCCGCCCCTGCCCGGCGCTCCTGGGGAGCCTCGGGACTCAGCCTCGGACACCGTGAGACTCGAGACGGGAGACCCCTCGAGGTGAAGCCGCCGAGTTCCGGGGCTCGGCCGGGCGTTCCCGGGGAAGCCGAGGGACCCCCTCGCCCCGCGCCACATACAACTTCCCCGCTTTTCACCTGGGATCGGCGGAGCAGCGGCCGACTTAAACGGGACCGCGGGATTCCGGGCTGAGGGCGGCCGCCCGCCTGGGTCGCCAGTCGGGGTGGGGGACGTGCCCCTCGCCCCCAGCTGCTCCCCTCGGATGGCGCCGCCGGCCGAGTGAGGGAGGCGACGCTCACGACCTCCCCGCCTGGACCTCTCGTCTTTGCCGAGAAGATGTACGAGAGCGTAGAAGTGGGGGGGCTCACCCCCACCCCCAACCCCTTCCTGGTGGTGGATTTTTATAACCAGAACCGGGCCTGTTTGCTCCCAGAGAAGGGGCTCCCCGCCCCCGGTCCCTACTCTACCCCGCTCCGGACTCCGCTTTGGAATGGCTCAAACCACTGTAGGTACCAGCCACCCCTCTCCTATTGTATAGGGTGAGGGTGGGCGGCGGGGCTTCCGAACCTCCGGGGGATGCGAGCCTGGGGGCGTGGTGGGGTCTCGTCTCTCCCCTTCACCTCCCCTCGTTTCCTCTTGCTGAAGCCGCGGTCCCCTTGCTGCGCAGCTGGAGTCACCACTGGTACTGTTTCTGTTACATTAGGGCTGAGAAACTTTGGGGCTTCCTCCCTTCAGGAAACATTTGTTCATTTATCTTTACTTCTCGGAGGGAAAATGAAGCCCCTTGCCCCACTTTTCTATCATCTTGCTTGGCATCCAATACCTTCACAGCAGAGTGGTCCTTCCTCGCATCCGGGAGGGTGGGGTAAAGGTCCCATTTGTGGGCTTGGCTGCCGGAGGAGGAGAGGCCTCCTCCCCAGACCCCAGCCCTTGCCCTTGTGTCCTTCGAGTGTGTGTCCGGGGAAGGCGGGATGTCTTTGGTGTTGGCAGTGGGGTGTGGCAGGAAGGGGCAACTTCATCAAACACCCCTCTGCCATCGGAAGCCATCCGTCCATCTTGGGGAGGGGCGCCTGACCATCTGTGTGTCGTCCTGGCCCAGGACACTTGGCTGGCATCTCGGAGGCTTCTGTCCAGGAATGGAGGGGAGAGTTGCTCTGGCGGGAAGAACCCTCCTTCTAATCCTAAACCAGGTTGTTCTCTGGGGGATGAGTGTGGTTTTTTTTTTTTTTTTTTTCACTGGCCTGGGACTACTGTGGAAATGGATACATCCCCTTCCCATCCAGCCCTGTCCTTTTGTTACCCTGTGTTCACTTGGGGACAGGGGCAGGTACTGGACTGTCCCTTCCTAAGAGGGGCACTGAGGAGAACCCTGGAGTCCTGGCTGCCTGCTCACCTCACTGCCCCCTGCCTGGGTTTGGGCTCCTGGTGGGGGAGGGGCTCAGTGCACTGCGGGAGCTGTGAGGGGGCGGTGCACTTCTGGGCGTGTTCACACCCAGCCTTGCGGGCCTGTGCACCTGGGTGGGAGAGCGCTGGCCTCTGCCTCGGGGTCATTGTTACCAGGCTCCGGGTTCTTCCCTTCTCCTTCAGGGCACGACTCTTCTCCCACCTCCCAGAACCTGCGGGCTCCCTCTCGCCAGCCAGAGAGGAGGGTTGGAGAGGGTCTCCTGGGGCCTGGCAGATTGGAGAGGGTTGAGGGCAACCCCCAGCACCTTTGCTCTAGGAGGGAAGACAGAGAGACACCCCACCACAGCTCCTCTGAGAGTCACCTTAACCCCATCCTTTGCTTTTGTCCTGTTCCCTGACCTTTCCTTCCCCCGGTGGATAGGCTGAGAAGCTGCAGACAGTGGGGAGGGACTGAGGTGTGAGATAGGTTGACTTTGGCAAAAACGGAGAGGTGAGGACTATGACACCAGGACCTTCCTGTCCACCCAGAGCTGGAGGAAGGTGCCCCCCTCGCCTTGGACAATTGGGACAGGGCTTCCAGGGTCACCCCTTCCACCACCTTGGATGCCTTTGCCAGAGGACTGGGGGTGAAGCAGGGATGGGAGGCCTTGAGCTCCAGCCCTGCCTCTTCCTTTGCCATAAGGGCAGCTCATCTCTTTCTGGCCCCAAGGGGAAGCAGGAGGAGTGTGGAGTCCCAGAGACCCATGAGCCCCCGGGTTTGGCGAGGCAGGCCGTGGGGAGGCTGTCCCCCACACCCTGTCCGGGCCCATAGTCTGTGTAGGGGTCTGTGTATGTGGGTGGGGTGCCGTGGGCTCAGCACCCAAGGCTGTGAGCCCCCCCAGGGGGGGTTCCTGAGGCACTGGAAGACTTGGAGGCCAGAGGGGGGACTAGACCTTGTCTAGCGCATTCAGGGTCGCCAGCGCTGCCTTGGTGTGGTTGCAGGTCCTCTGGGGACAGGCCGCTGCAGCCCCTCAGGGTTCTCCACTCCTGCCTCCTTCACCCAAGGCGGAAAGAGACAGCGGGCTGGCTTTGGGAAGAGACCTCCTTCCTATGTAGCCCTGGGGACGTTGCCACCCTCCCCAGAGCTCCCATTTGGGGCCACTAGAGGACAAGGGGTACACAGGATGTGGTTCCCCATCTGTCCCAAACCAATCTCCGCTGCTCACGCCTCTGCCCCGCTCCCAGACGTCCAAGAATGTGAAGCACGTGGCCCCCTGTAAGGGGGGGGGGAGATGCTTATCGGCCGCCACTGGGCCAGGGGCCTTCTTCCGCCGCTGCTGCTGCCGCCGAGCTGCACCCGAGCCGCCCCCTCCCACCCCTGGGAGGAAGGGCAGTACCGAGGGCCCTGCGCCCCCTTCCCATCCCTCCCCAGGGGCTGCAAGGGGAGCTGCAGAGGAGCGGGTGCCAGCTGGATTGGGAGGGGAGCCGCTGGCCAGGGGCCCGGCTGATTTCCTGCTGATCTCCTCCAGGAAACCGGCCCCTTGTGCGAGCCTGCAAACGGCTCTGGGGCGCGGGGAATCCAGCTTGCTCTACCCCTCCTGCCCTGTGGGGGGGGAGCGGGGGAGGGGCACCTGGCAGCCCTGGAGGGGACCCAGGCTTCCTGGGCTGGTGCCAGTCCCTGCGCCGGGCGCTAGGACTTTGAGCCGAGAAGGTGTGGTGCTTCTCCAGCCCAGGTCTTTCTGCAGGAAGAGGAGAGATTTGTGGGCTGGGGCCTCTGGGGGGGAGGAGGTGAGTGGGGAGGGACCAGGCCACGGCCGTCCTTCCCCTAAGAATTGTGTGGGCCGAGTTGAAGCTGTGTGCTCTACTCTTGTGGAGGCTGTGAGGGTCCCAGAGTGCCTTGTGTCTTTCCAAGCTCCTGGCTGGAGGCCTGAGGAGATGGGGACTCTGGGCCCAAAGGGCACACTGGGAAACATCCGCCCTGTTCCCTGGGTGACAGGTGGGATGTGCCGGAGGTGGGGGTGCAGACCGCCTTATAGTCTGGCGGCCAGCACTGCCTCGTGGGTGGAAGAAAGGCCTCAGCCCGAACTGTACCCCACAGTGGGGCATCTCCCCTGTCCTAGCAAACAATTCTAAAACACACATTCTTTCAGTTCCATAAACAAGCTCTGGACTTTGCTTGGGCTCCAGATTTCTGCAGGCAGTTGCCCTGCTAGTCTGACTCTGACCTTGGACCTGTCTGTCCCTCATCCTGGTATCCGGTGTGTCTCCCCATGCCCTGCCTCCTCCTCCCCCAACTCTGTACCCCAAAGCTCCCCTGTCCGGTTCTGCCCTCCAGTCTGGCCCGTTCTAGAGCTTGGGGTGGCTGACCCAGGGCAAAGGGCTGGTGGGGAGGGGAGGGGAGGGGAGGGGAGACAGGTCAGTGCCTCATCTCTGCTTGTTGCAACCTGAGATTCGAGGCCACGGCCCCCCCACGCCCGCGCCCTTGACGTCCCCCCTCCCCAGTGCAGTCTGGATTGTCTATTGTTACTTCTTTTACGTTTTGGAAAAAGTTAGCACGACAAAGGGCTCCTTTGTCACCCACCCTCTGCCTCCTGGCCTCACCCAGGCCCCCCAACCCGGCCCCCCAAAGCAGCTGTTCTCAGCCCTCTCGCCTGTCTGATTTGCTTGTCTGGTCTCTGGGAGAATGGGGTGGGGGGACCCCCAGCCAGCAGTTTGGGAGGCCGGAGCCCCCACTGGCCCTCTGCTGTGGAGCCCTGGTCTCTGGGCAGGCGTGGGGTGTGCGGACACAGCGGTGCTGGCCAGCCAGGCTGACCGGGGAAGTGGTGCCCAGGCCCCGAGAGGAGCCAGGAAAGCCCTGCCCAGGCAGTTGTCCCGGCTCCTCCGTCACCCGTGGCCTGCAGTGTGTTTGCAGGTAAGGGGGCAGGTGGTAGCACGCAGCCCCCGCCCCTCCCCTTGTCCAGGTGCTTCTTTTCTCTGTTCCTTGGACTTGGGGCCCTTGTGGCTAATGGTTATAAGGTGCCTGGGCCAGGAGCTGTGGGCCTTTTTGAATGCCAGGACGTTGAGTGCTGGAGTTTGGGGTGAGACTAGGCAGGGTTCTGGGGTGTGGGAGGAGGTAGGGCCTACCTCCTGGGGATGGACTGCTTGGTGCTCCTTGTCTTTGGACAAGGAGACTTTGCAGGGGCTTCAGGAGGGTGCCGGGTGGCCCTTTGGGGGTCTGGGTGCTGTGGTCACAGTTCTCCATCCAGTACAGTCCACCCCCAGCTGCCCCGACTTAAGGCGCAGCCGCCCCCCAGCCCAGCCCTGCCCTGCCCTGGGTGGTGGGCATGGAGCCAGGTG